TTGATAAGTGGCATTCTCGTGAAAGTAGTCTTGTATCAAACGTTTGGTTGGCTTCTTCACGATTTTTGTAAATATATCTTCCTGTTCTCCATTGAGAACTATCGGCTGTGTTATTGCATAAAGTGTCATACGTTTGTTCTGCCATTTAAGCACAAACAAATAACAACATAAAAAATAACTTGAAATTCTTCAGAATATGGTATTTTCTAATAATTTGGAGAGAGAAAGCTATAGAAAAATCTAAAATTTTGGTTTTTGTTTGAACAAATAAAGGTAAAATGTTTAACTTTTTGACCGTTCAACAGTCAATTTTCCTATTCACCAATCACAAAATGCGGCAAAAAGGGAGAGGTGCGGCCAAACTGCACCCAAGACTGTATAAGGGGGGTGTTCCTACTACTCCACTCCCCACAGTCTTATAACCACTAAATTTTGCCGATTAGCAGCTTAGATTTTTGAGTTTCTACTTGATGCTACTTAGACCATCTGATATACTTGTCACGAACCATTTCGTGATCTACGTGGCCATTAACCACGAATGTGAACACCATCCGAGATGTTTGTGGTGGTTAGTGGTAAAGAATTTTGGTAGTCAATTGTGGTAAGGAACACAGACCATCACGCCTAATCAATTTGTTTCTCTCTCTATTTTTCTCTATCTCTCTCTACATTTTAATTATTTAAATATATTTTTTAATTTTATTAATAAAAAAATAAAAGGGATATAGTGGTGAGTATCCCAACCTGTTAGTGGTTGAATGTGGTGATAAGTTGATACCCATCACTATAATGGTTGGTGGTGAGTATAACGGATGATTATATATATATACATATATATATATATATATAATATATATATATATATATATATATATATATATATATATATATATATATACACACACACACATATATATATATATATATATATATATATATATATATATATATATATATATATATATATATAGGGTGAGGTTCAATAGAGAACCATAAATAACCAACGAACTAAAGAACCAATCGTGAGCATCGGAAATCATAACGATCAACGGCCAAGGAAATAGATGTACACTTTTACATTGGACGCACACACAGCGGATTATACCAAAAAACTCACCCTTTACAAAAAAAAACCTACCACTATTTTTCGTTTAAAATTTTTTTAGGCCATGCTTTTATCAAAAAAAAAAAAAAAAACTGAATATATCATTATTCATGATTTTTCGTCTTCTTTCCATAGAGATCCATGATGATATATAAAAAACGAACTTTTTTTTCCGAAGAAAACCCACTTCATTTTCTTTAATAAAAAAAGTTAAGGTCTATTTTTATAGAAAAAAATTTATAAATATATCAAAATTCATATTTTTTGTACTTTTTAAACATAGATTCATACTCATGTTAAAAAAAAAAAAAACAATATTTCAGTTCAGATTCACATTGTGAACTTGTTCAGATTCATATTGTAAATCTATTCAAATTCATATTGTGAACCTCCTCAGATTCACAGTGTGTATAATAATAAATCAGATTCACAGTGTGCATCTGAACTGATCGGAGCATTTTAACATTGTGAATGTTAAAATTTGAAATATTTACAGTTTAGATTCACAACGTGAATCTACACTAATCAAAGGTTTTTTTTTTTTTTTTTTTTTTGTGAACCTTATCAGATTCACAATGTGAATCTGAACTATTCGAAATTTTTCATATTGTGAATGTTAAAAATTGAAATATTTACAATTTAGATTCACAGTGTGAATCTACACTGTTCGAGGTTGTTTTTTTTAATCGGCATTGATGTTTATTAATAGAGTACAAACAATTAATATTTTTGGTATAGTTAGTTTTTTTTTTTTTTGTTAAAAAAAACTTAAATATTGAAAAAAAAAAATAAGAAACTTAAGTGGGTTTTTTTCGAAAAAAAATTCAATTTTTATATATCATCATTAATCTCTATGGAAAACGGATGAAAAATCGTGAACAACGGTATATTCAGATTTTTTTCGATAAAAAACTTGGCCTAAAAAAAATTTAAATGGAAAAAAGGAAGTGAGTTTCTTTATAATCCGGTACATGCGCGTCCATTATAAAAATTTACAACCTTTCCTTTTTCATTTGAGACCACTTATATTTTGTGATACCGTGAGAAACATTTTTTTATTTTATTTTTATTTTTTTTAGTTAATTCAAGTTCCGAAAAAATATTTAAAAAAAAAGAATTTTTAGATTTTTTCATTTATTTTGCATTTTAAAATTATTTTTTAGAATATGTACAGTGTAATATTCTATTAGAATATTTCACGTAATTTTAAAAAGAAAAACGGGTTTTCTTTTTTGTTTTTTTTAGTTAATTCAAGTTCCGAAAATAATATTTAAAAAAGAATTTTTAGATTTTTCCATTTATTTTGCATTTTAAAATTATTTTTTAGAATATGTACAATGTAATATTCTATTAATATATTTCACATATTTTTCAAAAAAAAAAGGGATTTTTTTTTATTGTTTTTTAGTTTTTTAATTTTTTTAGTTAATTCAAGTTCCAAAAATAATATTTAATTTTTTTTGATTTTTCCATTTATTTTGCATTTTAAAATTATTTTTTAGAATATATCATTGTAATATTCTATTAGAATATTTCACGTATTTTTAAAAAAAAAACGGGATTTTTTATTTATTTATTTATTATTTTTTTGTTTTTTTTAGTTAATTAAAGTTCCGAAAATATACTTAAAAAATTTTTTTTGGATTTTTTTCATTTATTTTGCATTTTAAAATTACTTTTAAATTTGGTCTCACGATCTCATAAAATTAAAATGGTCTCAAATAAATCTGAACATATATATATATATATATATATATATATATATATTATATATATATATATATATATATATATATATATATATATATATATATATATATATATATATATGAGAAAAGTGAATATACCTAACAACCTTATATAAGCTTAGGTACCTAACTCCATAATACCAAATCGGTTTTTATCATATTTACATTGTAATTGCTTAAGGTTCTTAAACTTCAACCTCATAACTTTATTACTTCCAAAATCTTTGGACTTTCACCAATATCTTTCTTTTACATCACGTATTTGTATCGAATACCGCCTGATAGGCTTTATATCCTACCGCTACAAATGAAATGATGTAGGAGAAATATAATAATGAATTTCCAAATTTTTTTGAAGTAAATCAAGTTTATGGATAAAGTTTAAGAACCTTTCATGATTGCAATGAAAATTTAATGCAAAATGACCTAGTTTGATGAGGTTAGGTATCTAAGCTTATATAAGATTGTTAGGTATATTCACTTTTTATATATATATATATATATATATATATATATATATATATATATATATATATATATATATATATATATATATATATATATATATGTGTGTGTGTGTGTAAAATTTTGTGCTACACAATTTCTTTTCCACCCATGAGCGAATATAACTTTAAACTAAAAGGTTTGGGAGTTGGGACATACTTGTTGGCTCCCGGTTGTTTTATAGCAAATCCAACTATAAAGTTGCAAGTATGTGATATAGATTCAAATAATAATATAATTTTCAAAAACGTCATGGTGATATATGTGAGAAAAACTAAAGGTCCAATTCTGCTACATAATTATGGATTGAATTCATTTTGTTGCGGATTTGCATAAATATGGTAATCTTATAAAATAATATTTTATCTTAATTTTGTTTTTATTTTAGATTAGGTAAATATTGATAAAAGTTTATAAATTCTGTTTTACTGGTAAATAAAATCAATTTATTTATTTATTTATTATTATTATTATTATTATTATTATTTTGTAATTTTAATTTTATTATTATTATTATTATTTTTATTATGTTGTAATTGAACCTTTGGTACCGGTTAGTAGTTACAATTTTGTTCAATTTCAAGGTTACTACAAACAATAACAAATTTCTATGGTTAATTTTTAAACAAAATATCAATTGTGACTTTTTTGTTAATAAACCAAAATATAGGTAAATTCTTTTAATAGATAGTGTTTTTTAACCTCCAGTTTTATTTAGTTTAAGATTAAGTTATAATCTATTTTTGTTGAAACAAGTATTACAATGTTTTTGGTTTTTACTTGGTTGAAATATTTTCATGTGGGTTGGTGTGTATAGAAAACACAATTAAAACTAAGATGATATGTAGATGCATTTTTTTGCCAATCGCAAAAAAATGTTTTTAGACGATTATGAAACCATTGTTGACATTAGTAACCATTATGAAAATTCAAGAGAGAAAGAAAACCTTATAACGTCTGTTGTTTAGAATTTTAAAACCGTAGGCCTGTTAGTATCAATGTGGTATATTGTAATGTATGTTCTATATAAATTACGAATATTAATTGTTGAGTTATTGCAAGAGTAGAGCTTATGTGTCATGCAGCTAAGACTATTTTACATCTTCTCTATCAATCTATGAATGTAATCTTCAAAAGAATTGGTTTACCATACAAAAAGACTTAGCAGTGCATCTTATTGTCCGTTTGTCTTATTATTCGTTGTATCGTGATAACTAAGTTCTAATATATTAAAATTTATTTATGGATTAATTAATACACTACTTTCAATCAAGTACTTGATATGTGGATGTATATCATATATACTATTAATTGTTAAAAAGATGGTGAACAGGAAACTTTGTAAATTTTCATTTTTGCTACTTTTTCCCTTCAATTACTACTTTGGCCACAACCCATTATTCTTTTAAAAGGTAATATTTTAGTTTTCAGACCGCCTTAAAAATTAGATCATCATTATCTTTTACACCGCCTAAAGATATTCTAGACATTGTCTTCTAATTTCCGTTTGCAATTCTCGGTTTCAGTGTATATCGAACCATCGTCTCCACCCCGAGAAGCAACTCTACCAACAACGAAGACAGCAAACGTCAGTGTGGACACACTTCCCTTCTTCTACAAGAGGAACCATGAAGACAACACCCATGTGCCTCCACTGCTTTCACCATCATTCGACTGATACAAGGTAAATTCATCTGTCTTTTTTCTATTTTAAAGTCTTCTTTTTAATTTATTGAAGGTCCATTTTAATTTTTTGGGTTTACGTTTTCCTATGTTTGGTTAAATTGATTTTTTTTTCTTCAATCTGTTTTCATGCTTTCTTCCTGTTGTTGTTTGGATTTTTCTGATGTTGTTTGGATGCCTCTTTCTTTGATTTGTGTTTTCTGTTAGGGTTTTGATTTGGGGTTCCGGATTTCTCTATCCTAATTAATACGGTTCTTTGTCTATCTTCTATTGTGTGTAGTTTCCCATGTCACTAACATCACTTCGACCCATCGAAAGAGAAATAACTTCTCGCTTTTAATCAAGTTTCTTTTCTCTAACACCTTTTCAGTGTTGGGTGTTCTTGATTAGGGGATACAAGCGATTTTACAGGCGACAATTGCTTGAAACATTAGATTATCTCAAGGATGATTGTTTGAAAATCAATTGCACTGTAGGAATGGTGGTTTCTGCAACAGATTGCCCCAGGTTACATTCATACAGACTCTAATGTCGGATCAAATTTCGGTATGTTGCTTGAAAATATGGAAGGTTGCGATGTTATCTTCAAAGTGGGTGATGAAAATGTTATGCTCATAAATTGGTGTTGGCTGCTAGATCCCCTATGTTTCGGTCTCAATTCTATCAACAAGAGAGAGATCATGATGACATTATTATCACTGATATGGAGCCTAAGGTTTTTGAGGTAATTACACTATCATTATGAGCACTTTTTTCGGGATTTAATAATTTAATCTATCACACAAATAACGGAAGTTGAATTATTAATTACACTTTTCTATTATGCAATAGGCGATGCTACACTTCATTTTACAGAGATGAACTTACAGATAAATTGGTGGCTTCAAGTTCATCTAGGGAACAAACTGTATTCAATACAGTAGTTGCCAAATTATTGGCTGCTGTTGATCGATATGATTTGACTAGACTCAAAAGGATATGTGAGTCACGTCTCTACAAGGGTATATTCATAATTTCATTTGGTAGAATTTTAGCATTGGCAGATAATCATCATGCTATGGAGCTTAAAGCTGTTTGCCTAAGATTATATCTCAAGCTCATAAATTTATAAAATTTTCTGTAATAACTAATAATCAATAAGGATTTTCACCCAAATTTCGATGAACTGTAAGTTTACTTTTCAGAATATTTTAGTTTTCATCTTCATCTTTCAACAAGTTACAATTATCATCCCTCTTTCTACAAATTGAACATGACATTTTTACTATGTTTGTCATGCATTGGACTAATGTCAATGGGACACAGACTCACTTTCTCACTTTCAATCTATTTTATGTACAAAAGATGTAAATGCCCCTATCATCTTCATTAACAACTGTAAATTATTGGTGATTTAAAGGTCTGGATCTATTTGCTTGGATGTCATCAACCAATCTTGGAGTCCAATGTTTGGTAATTTATAATTTGTTTTTCCAAAAATCTTGATTGTTATGTTTATAGTAGTGGAATGTATCTTTTGTATATAAGCTTTAACAATATGACAAAAAACTTAATTATTTAAAAAAAAAAGTTATTATCTACAGATCTTTTAAATGTATTTGAGGTTTTTCTTCCCCAACTTTTGCTATACCCAAATCCTTCAGACCTACTAAATGGTGATGCGGAATCTTTGATGATAAAGGACAAGGAGCAATATGAGAAGAAAGTGAAAGGTTCCTCTTTTTTTTTTCCATTTACTAGGGGCATTTTAGTAAATTTGTGATGCCGAATAACAATAATCAGTAAAAGGTCTTGAAGGAGATAGTGTTTGGATGTGCTTGAAGTTGTGATAAATAATAATATCACTATTTGATGGTGTTGAGTATTTGACAAATTTTTATAAGTTAAGATATTAATTAATGGAACAAGGGTATATAAGTAATTTGGGTTTATTGGTGTAGAATATTGTGAGCTATATGAAAAAAAGGAGAATATCAATGGCAACACACTTGGAGATGAAAGTGATGAAAATGAAAGCAATGAAGATATTAGTGATGGAAAAAGTGAATCAAGTGAAGAGGATGTTGCGGGAAATGCAGACCCATAAAGACTTAAATACCTCTGAACTCAAATATTATAAGATTTTTTCTTTGTTTAAAAATCTCCCACTCTTGATACAGGTTTTGTCACATAGTTTCTTGTAAAATTTAGACCAAAAAGCAGAGCCATTATGGTAAAATAGATATATAATTGGATATTAGCAAGGTCAAACCTCAGAAAGAGATCTTAATACATACTTCTCTTATTTTTATTTTCTTATAGTCGGATATAATTGCAGTCGGCTAAACGCCATCTTTTCCATGATGAGACACTCCCATCTTTCTTCAAAAGATTAGTCTGTTCACTTGATGGTTCATTTCTTTCTGTGGCTGCTGGTATGAGGTAAATTAACCATTTAATTTGACTATTTTGCCCTTGCCAATAGTTGGACCATTTTCCCCCTTCTAACAGTTGGACCATTTTACCCTTGTCAACGATTGTATCTTTTTTATGCTTTGTGTTTGAATTAAAAAGTCTATCTATATATCAGATTGCTTTTGATCATACATTCTCTCATTTTATTGATTGGTAATTTGCAGAAATTATGATTCATATTAACTTACTTGCTGTATGATTTTCATTGCGCGGCTTGGTGTTCATAAAGTGGTCTATCAGGCGTAGAAGCAAAACCTCATTTTTTCTTCTTCGAAAAAGAAGTATGCTTTTATGAAAATGCCCTCGTCAAACTTGCCATGTTATTTGTTTTCTATTTTTTTCATTTGATTAATAATTTGAATGGAACATAAGGAGAAACATAAGTACGTTGCTATTATGGATATCAACTTAAGTTTTTTTTATGCAGGGTTTAATCACAAAGGAGAGAGGTTGTATTAACTCAGCAGTTGCACCATTTGCTAAAGATATTGGAGAGCTTGAAGGTTTAGGACTCTATGAGTTGATCTCGTAGCTGTGAGACTCAAAGATCCACACTCTTGGTATGTATATGTTCTCTTTATTTTCTCCTCTCTTTCTCTCCGAGTTTGGTTAGCTAGATTCCTTTTATGGTCAAGAAGATAACAATCAGATTCGGATATTTGAAAGAGAAGTGATGCCTCTGATTCCTAGGGTGCTAAACGGCTCCAATGCCACTGTTTTCGCTTATGGAGCTACTGGTAGTGGAAAACCTTTTACAATGCAGGTTTGTGTTATTCTCTTCTTGATTAATTTTGATCCCCTGATTCGTTTTCCATTCACTTATTTTCAATTGGTTTTGAGTTGAAACCCCAAATGTTTTGAGATGATGCAGGGAAGTGATGAGTTGTCAGGTTTGATGCGAATGGCTACATCAAGCATCCTCTCGATGTGTGAGAAGATGGTGAATACTATACAAGTTGCACTAAGCTTTAGGTTGAATTAATTAACAACTTCATATAAAATTGAATATGCAAAATGCAAAGAAAAAACAAGAAACCTTTTTCAAACTTATTTCATCTATAAATGCTTTTGGTAGTTTGATTGTTCTTGATTATATGAAACAAGATTCCTTTTCCAACTCTTATGAAACACAGCACCAATGGCGCACATGATTCCCTTCTAGTTTCATATCAAATTTTAATTTAGTCCCATCATCAAAAAGCGATATATACATTTCATAACATATTTTTACATTTTAACCAGTTTTTATATTTTATTGAATAGAATTATAATTAAAAAATTATGTTTATTTGTTATCATAAATTAAAAAACCAAACAAATTATAATGGTTGTTTTAATAAAGATTTATTATAATTTAGAGGGTGTTTCAATAGAAAAAATGAGATTTCAATAAATTAGTATTTATAACTTTTCAAAACTTTTTAGAATTTTTTGGGTTGTAAAATTCAAATACCTTAAAACATGTATAAGTTATGATAAATACTTTTTAAAAAGCAAATTATTAACTTATTGATTTTTTCTACTACAAAAGCTAATTTAACACTTTTTAAAAAACTCATTTTCTCACCGCCGTAAGTCAATAAGTCATTTTGCCTAAAATTCTGTTAGAGGTTTAAAATGAAATTTCAAACACATTCTTAATATTAAAATATATAAGACTTAAGTTTATATATATATATATATATATATATATATATATATATATATATATATATATATGGGAAAAGTGAATATACCCTTAAGGTTATATAAGCTTGCGTACCCAAACTCACAATACTACGTCGTTTTATATTATATAATACATTCTAATTGTTTAATGTTCTTATAATATAATTTCTAACTTGATTTATTTCCATAATTTCTATAAATTACACATTTATCTTCATCTTACATAATTTTCATTTTCAACTATAATATATGTAGCCTTATATGTATTCAACAAAAAGATGTGATATAAAAGAAAGATAATAGTGAGTTTCAAAAATCTTAACAGTAAATCAAGTTAGAGGTTTATGTTTAAGAACATTATAATAAATATATCAAACAAAACGACGTATTATGGTGTGTTTGGGTACCTAAGCTTATATACCTTTAAGAGTATATATATATATATATATATATATATATATATATATATATATATATATATATATATATATATATATATATATATATATATATATATATATATATATATTGGCATAATGACAAATAAGGCACCCCGATAATTTGTTTACAATTTCACCATCAAAATTTTTTATTGTTTGCGGTAAATTGAAAATGTAATAAATTCTAAGTAATAACATGTTTCAGTGATTAAATGAAAAAAAATAATAATAATAGAAATTTTTTGTAAAAAGTGCCGAAGTTTAGGGATTTTTATGCATATTTCCCTTTAGTTTACCGCTTTATGATTGTTATTTTACAACAATTTTATATGATATATTCTGTTGTTATATAATTAATACAAATAAAAATAATGAAAAATGCCAGAAAAAAACCAAACATATCATCCATCAATGCTTAAAAAACTAATATGTGGCTTTTCTTATGTTCATTAAAGTCATTCTGTTTTGTAATTTGTTTTTTATGTTAGACAAAGGTAACTCCAAATATACTCACGACCACCCTCTTAAATATTTAATTCCCATGTAAATAAACCCTTCATCCATACATATATAATATAGCACATGTATACCATATACCGAAAAGATTAGAAATCCCTTTCAAGTAACCAACGAAAATAATGTGGTTGTGGCTCTTGTTATCAATGTCAGAGTTAGCAGAGTTGAAACAAATACAAGCATCTTACAAATTGCATCCCTTGAATGGGATTCTTATAGAAATCATGTTTCCCCAAGACAATATAAGGAGATTAACATATGCTGCATGATGCCTAAATCCTCTCGGAATTTGTCCATGAATTAGGTTATGAGGTTTGATTACATTGCAAGTGGTGTCACGACGATCAAACACAACATTTCCAACTTTTGTGCGTTTGAAGTATGTCAAAATTGTGCGAAAGTGTAATTCATAACTAATTTCATAACTAATTTCCATATGTTTAGATTATGAATTAAAACAAAATCAATTAGTATATCTTTGACAAACTAACATTAATAATAAAATGAAGCGACATTTAAAAAAAAAAAAAAAAAGCATTGTTGTCTCTATGTCGTGACTCTTATTTTCACGATTGACGATTTTAAATGCCATCCATGTCACGGTTTCAAAAGATCATATCCTTTAAAACATCTCAGTTTTGAAATTTCATTATGTTTTACCGAATTTTCAACATATCGAAGATATCATAAACCCGGATGGGGATAATGGGTTCCGCTTATTCTTTCATAATATAAACAGTTTTGTTTGAAAATATTGGTTGGTTGAATTAAATTCTATCGTAAGCCTATTGTGAAATATTGTAACTTAAGTTTAAGCAGAAACACATGATACTCGTTAGCTCTTTTTGTAAAACACATAACTATGAGATGTTTCTTTGTTAAAAAATGTAATAATGTACAGCGATAATAATAATAATAATGCATAAAGGTGGAGTGAGTAGTTTCTTTTATATTCGATTTTTTATGCGAAGGTTTTATGTTGTGAGCATGTGGGTGGGCATAGAGTAGGGTAACATAACTTACTCTATCCATGTGCCTCTTAGCTATTATTTGACGGCAAACATGTGTTCCGAGTTCCCACAATAAGTTTACAAAGAGATGTTATCAGATCAAATGATTATCGTTTTCATTATAAAATATCATTTATTTTGTAACAGTATATAATTTTATATTATATATATATATATATATATATATATATATATATATATATATATATATATATATATATATATATATTTTGAACACCATATGGAATTAAAAAACGAAGCAAAACTAGCCAGTGGCTAGGGGTACAAAAGTATAGTACTCGAAAGGAAAGAAAGTAACAAAACAACACAGCCTGCCAAAACTATAGCCTACAATAGCATTTTAAAATCGGATCATAGCTCCATTCTCACCATCCTAGATTTTGCCCTCTCTGATTCCTTGCATTAATCCAAAGAAGGGATAACGATTGTACCTCGTAAGCCAGCGCCGAATACGGTTTTGTGTTTGCGTTTCAAGAATGGGCTTTAAGGTTCCTCTATCTCCAAATCACCCAAAGAAATACCCTCATTATTGCTTTGTGAATCCTTTTCAGCCTATCGTGACCCTGGAGCCTTTCTTTGCAATCTAATAGATCTCGAATCAAATTTTTAGGATATTCCAACAATCTCCACCATCTACAGACGTGCTGCCAAACTTCATGTGCTACTGGGCAGTCCACAAACACATGCTCCTTAGTTTATGGGGCTCCATTACACATTTTGCACATGTTTGATAAGCTGATGCCCAATTTCAAGAGGTTGGCCATGGATGGAAGTTTGCCATGACAGTTTCCCCAAGCAAGAATATTCAGTTTTCCAGGGATTAGATAGTTCCAAGACCATCTGCACTCACTTATAGGAAGGATTGTAGTTGTCACACCCCCGAACCAGATCCGAGGCCTGTCGTGACTCAATTGAATACCATAACATTGAATATATATGAAACATAACATCATACATCACCATGCATTGAGACAGTA